GATTTTCGTGAAAAAAAAAAAAAATCGTACAATCTGGGGTTATGAAGATGTTTGATGTTCTGCTTGCGAATTAGTATGTAAATTTGCGAGAAATTGAAAACATGAGACCCTTTTTTTTTTCTTTCTAGAAATCGGGTAATCTCTGACTACAGTGACGATGAGCTGCCATGTATAAAGTGTTGAGCTTATTGTTATTTGGACTGTTCATAACATTCATTGTACCACCCAAATTAGATTGTAGGCTTGTAGCTAGATTTATGTTACAGTATAACTGGGGTCCTGACAATTTTTTATTTTTTTTTGCTCTTTTTCTTGGCAATAGTAAATGGATTTTCACTTTTGGATTTAATATGTTTTATTGTGTGCTCTGTTTTTGTTTGAGGATACAGGGCTTCAGATTATTCAAGGGGTTATGATGGCTCCTGTGTTCAGATGAGGCTTTCTTATAGCCCGTGTGCTAACTTTTTCCTTTTTCTCGTACAATGGGCTGATTGTCACCTAGCCGGTGCACTTGGGCTGATTAGGATACTTATTTATAAGGTGGGTTTTGCCTTTAAAAGGCAGTGCAATGTGCTTTGGTGGATTTTGTTTGTTCGGTCTATTTGTGACATAATTGTGTTTACTGTAGGCATACAAGGATGGGAAGACAACTATGTCTGTTTATGAAAGGAAAGCCAGCTTGAGGCAATTTTATGGTAAGTGCATTTGGAATGCTACTACAAGGGATAGTATTTGTTGTTTTGTTTTTTGTTTTTTGTTTTACACTTATGGTTTTAGAGAAACGATAACTATAAGGTGGAATGCTCGTATTATGATTGGACTTGAGATGAAAAACACACTATGATTCTTTTGGCAAGGTCATTTTGTTGAAGGTGATCAGCCAAATAAAATGAGAATGTGATAGTATCTTTGTTTATATGAAAGTGTAATCATGATATTAGATGTGATATCTTTCTTTCTTTCTTTCTTTCTTTAAAGGAATTATAATTTGATGTGATCGACGGATGAAAAATCAGAATGTACGACTAGCTTATATTTTTTCAAAACCATGGCACGGGAAAAAGAAATCTCTTACTAAAACTATATAACATTTGCTGGCAAGTGATCAGTCTTTGTTTTATCCATTTATTGAAGAAAAAGAAAAAGAAAATGACTCGGCTTGAGATATAGTATGAGCCACTTAGTTTGACGAGTTCTAAATGCTGAAGATAAATTGGGTAGGTGTGATATTCCCATCTCTGCTGCAACTTCATAAGGGAATAACCGACATTGACGAGAGGAAACAGAGAGAGATCTGTGAGACTAAATACAGGAGAACTGACGAGATGGATAAGGGTAAGATGTCTGAAATTGAGATCGAGAGAGAGGAAGAATGTGGGATTTGCATGGAAATTGATACTAAGGTTGTCTTGCCGACTTGCAGCCATTCATTGTGCATGAAATGCTACAAGAGCTGGTAAGATGCAGTCTTTTTTTTTAATAATTTTTTTTTATTTTTAATTTCTCTAATTTAGATGAAACCTTACTCTGGCATGACATATGTATATTATATTTATCTCATCATCATGTGGGTAGTGTTTATTGGGTATGATGAAGTATTGATGAACTTCACATTATGTGTGTGTGTGTGTGTGTTTGTGTTTTTCGTGAAACAAATTAATAAGTGAAATATTGTTTTGATTTCCAAAATTGGCTATCTCTAGCAATGGAATTTCATCATTCGTACACATAACACATAACGGATGATTTATTATGCTATTTGATTTCCAAAATTGTGCATCTCTATCAATTGAATTTCAAAATCCGTACATAACACATAAGGGATGATTTATTAGAACCAATAAAGATTTCTTTTTTCGATTCATCTTTCAAGAATTCTTTTTGATCCAATCCATAGGATTCAATAGAAAAGGCAAATCCCTTATGATACACCAGATCCGGCTCGGTTATTGATAGATCATTAAAAATTCACGAATTAGTGACATGAAACACGTTAATAAGTGAAATTTACATTGTCTAGAAACATAAATTTCATGACATGCATCTAATGTTCCTAAACATCTAGGACGTAATAAGCTCCTCAAACTAGGTGGATGATCAATTATCAAGAACTTGAAGGGATAATGCTTTTTTCTCTATGAACAAAGGATAATATTAGGAACTCTCATTTGTCTAAACATGTTTTTCTGGTCTTATCTCGACAGGCGGACCCGATCTCAGTCGTGTCCATTTTGTAGGGACAGTTTGAAAAGGATGAATTCTGGGGAGCTTTGGATCTACCCGAGCAATTGTGAGATTGTTGATTTATCTATCATTGCACGGGAAAATCTGAAGAGACTAATCATGTATATCGAAAAGCTGCCTCTTGTTGTTCCAGATTCGGTAGTGGTTTCTTATGATCCTTGTATGCGATGAATTATTCGGGTTTCCTTTTTAGTGTTTGTTTGTGGTTTTGGATTTGAAGCTGTTCATATGATTTTCTGGGCTATCATTTTCTTGGTTCATGCATTTTTCTTTACTTTGCATTCATGAAGTGTAAATATGTGTTCCTGCAGCTTGGCTACAATTGCGGTAGAAGTTTGTAAAGTGTTTTTTCACTAATGGGTTTGTATATAAAATTGATTTTTCTTTTGATCTATTAAATATTTGCAAGTCTACTATGAAATGGTCTCACATGAATTTTACATGAAATTACCATGCTTTTCTTGCAAAAAATCTGTACTTCTACATAAAATAATATATTTCATGAAAGACCTTTTTTTTTTTTTTTTTGAANAGAGTAGTGAAACAAAAATTAAGTTTTATCTCCAATCCTTCGCTCTACATTTTACTCTACGTCAAATATATTATTTTTTTATTCATTTTTATTTCAAATAAATTGGTATATATATATATATATATATTTAATATTATATAAATTTTTATTACTCAAATAATAAAATATGTTTTATTTATTTTTATTTCAAATAAATTACTATATATATATATATTTTAATCATATTTAGTTGTTTGATTGTGTTAAATTTTAGTTCAGATAAGACAATTTTAATATATAAAAATTACAAAATAAAATTGTAATACATAAATAAATAAAAAGTACAAAATTATTTAGCATAAAAAATATATAGCACAAAGTTATTTAGCATAAAAAATACATATACTATACACATTATACAAAAATTTATTATTAATATTACATTAAAATATATAAAACAAAAAAAAATGTGGAGTGGTGCTATAGTGTTGCACCAGATGTGGCGCAACACTGTTTCTATCTCCCAGCTAGCGCAGCATTGGAGATGTATTTTGCGCTAATTGAGCGCAAAAATATAGAGATAGCGCAGGGCTACGAATACTCTGAAGGTTTGAAGTTTGAACTTTGGACTAATTCTAGATTATAGTGAAGTAACTTATTACTTATAGAATAAAATTAATTATAAATATTAATTTGATATATGGAATTTTGGGGAGTTTTGCTTCAACTTCCAACATATTATATATCTGAAATTTTCACCTTATTTAATCTATTCCAATAATCTGACTAATCAAATTTGTTTGTTAAACGAGCCGAATCAAGCTCTTTCGCTGAAGCTTGCATATTTACTTATTTTTATAATAGGTGTTATAGTATGTTCGTGATCACAAATTTGTTTGCAAACAATTTGTTTCTAAAATCTGTTAAACGATTGACTGTTTCTCTAGTGGCTACGATCCGTTTTATTGGCTGGGAAGGGCGTTTCTTTAGTATTTATTTTATTTGTTTTGTGTTATATGTGTTGTGTTGTAATAAGACTTGTGTTTTTGGTTTGGGTCGTTGGCCCCTGTGAGCTCGAATGTCAAACTTATTACTTCGTTGGGGTCCGACACTAGGGTATTACCCTGTTGGGGTCCTTGTAGTTGTTCTAGTTGTTTGTGTTGTTGGTTAATTTAGTTGTGAGTGTGTTTTTTATTCTAGCATTGCTAGTCGGGATTCTAGGCGGACTTTTGATCTGTCCTCCCACTTTTTCAGCTGTTGGCTGCTGTGTATTCATACATTTGTGCATTTTAATTGATAAAATTATCTATCGTTTCAGGAA